ATCAGGTTGTTAATTTCATTTCCAGATACAAACGTGATTTACAGGAACTGGTTCGCTTTCATGATTCTTTTATCATACATAAAAGACACTGAAACTGAAGCTAAGTCGAATGTTAAATTCCTTGATTGTATATCTCCTCTGATCACCTTGTTGTGCTGCTATATTTTGATTAAGCTAGCGTATACGTATATCCTAGTACTTCTTCTCGTTTATAATTGTGTCCTAACGTTGTGCTTACTCGACACACACAACGTAAATCAGAAGACACTTGAGAAGGTGAAGGAATGTGTATTCTCGCCGTAATCAAAATTCAAAAATCGAGCGAGTACAAATGTATCAATTGTTAACCCGCAAGATTTAGAGTAATAAATAAATCAAAGTACAATTACACAATGAAAGTATAGTACGATGATGAGTAATAAAATGGGTCACTACAACCTTTCCTGGTCTTCTCACATTATGTTCATTCCAGAAAGATATTTCGTCTAACCTTCTAGATAAGGAAGTTAAGACAATATCGTATTACTGAGTATAACTTCAAAGTTTGTTAATTTTTGTATTTTACCTATCCTTCTTTACTGCTCCGCCTTATATATATATATATAATTAGTCAGTATCAACATTTCAGTGAGAGGATAATTAACGAAGAAAATTAATACACACAATTAGAAGGTAGAAATGGTTACTTCATGGAAAATTCCCATTGTAACATCAAAACAAGTGGCGATTGTTTAGCGAAGAGACTCTTTCCAACAAATTTACTATCAAGCTGTACAATCGTATATATATATATATATAAATATATATATATATGGTTTTTAAGAAATTATATCCGGTGATGGAATTGAATCACAGGTGTGAATGCATAAAATAATAATAGTATTATGAAATGCAATTAAAACTAAAATGTTTGTGATTATAATCATAATTAAATGTCAAGTAGCAAAACAATAATGTCACTTATAGAACAATTCAGAGGATGTATAGAACTTGGAAGGGGTGTGCAATTATAGGATTAGTAGGCAAACTGAATAAAAATCAAAACGTTGCGTAACATTGTGTGAAATATGATAACATTGAATTTAACATTGCGAAACAAAACTGATTTAGAATGACAAATGGAACGAGTGAAATAACACCGGGGACAGTTCAAAGTGAAAATAGTAACAGTAACAATTGACGTAATAAAGGAAGAGTATACAAATTGAATAGACAAAAATGAAAAAATTTATAGAGACAAAATATGATTAGGGATTACCATACTTTAGCATAGAGGGATTAAAACCATAGGGGGTTGAAGGGGTTGAACAAACATTTTCTTTGTACAGAAGTCTTAGTTTCCTGTCTCGATGGCTAAAGCTTCAGCAATACAGATGAGTCGGATACGTAATGATTTGGATAAATTACTTTTCACCTTGTAGATGACTTTAAAGGCGGAGGCTGTAGAGATAGGGCGATCATTATCGACTAGATGTTCAGTGATCGCGCTTCTTATTGCTCCACCTCCACCTCTTTGTAACCATGCAGGATAGTGTTCTTGCACCATCTTGGACAAACTCGAGCCGAACGACCGATATATCTAGCTCCACACGAGCAGGTGAATTGATAAACATACATAGTTGGTCAACAGCGGGATCTTGTCCTTCAGGCTATTGAACAGTAATGGTCAACTGGTAAAGGCTATTCTCAAGGATGCAGCAGGGAATGTTCTTTTCAGGGACTGTGAGATCCCTGGTAAGAAATGGTTATAACAATTAGATTGCATAATTCATAATTTTGGAAAATGGAAGATCAATTAAGGAATAAGCTTGTGCTAAAGTTGATTACATAACAGATTGTTAAAGAAAAACAAAATGATTTGGACAATGATAACTTGTAATTAATAGTATTATTATTAGGAGCAATAATACTTTAGCTGTAAAATATAGAGGAAGGATAAACACTCATTTTTCGTTTTGTTTATTTCATTAATGCATCTTCCCGCACGATTTCTTTTAATTATTGCTGTTCTTCACTTTGAACACTTTCTAGTATTACTTCACTTGTCTTATTATTTATAATTTTAAATTAATAAAATTTCTTTCAATGTTCGTTTCTGCCTTACCAAACTTCTCACCATGTTAAGTAGTATTTTGAAAGTTTTTAAGAGTTTGGTTTGTAAGGATTAGATTTTGATTTTCGAGTTTGACCGCGGATTGATTGATATCAGTTTGAGAAGCATTGGAAACCAGCCACAGGGAGTAACGGACGACAGTTTCATCCCAGTTTGCGAATCATCAACAGTAAACACCCACCCCTTTGGGGTTCGAACCCAGGACCTTCCGGTTACAAGGCAAGCTAACTCGTATAACCCATGAATTTTAACTTTTACCAATCCGTGATTTTAGCGAGACCATCAACCAATGTCATCTCAAGGGAAATCCATCCTCACTCCCGACTGGATGGACATCATTGGTGATAAATTGATAGAAGTTAGAATTCATGAGCTGACCATTGAATCAAGTCCCGGTGACTGAATAGTATTTAAAGTGCCTGCTAATCCTGTAATTTCACATCCCTTTCAAACATTTATCCGTGCTATGAACTATTCTATATATCACATAATTTGGTTTATCACTTGATATATAACTATGATTGTAATCATCATATTATTTTGAGTATTCACCATTTTGTTTATATATCCTGCGACGACATGGTCTCTTTAAAACTGTATATCATACAGCTGTACAGGTTGATAATAAAGTCGTTGAAAAGAGTCTTTCCGTTGAATGTCGTGTTCTTAAATACTCACTACAAATTGAAATACTGTGTTTTAATATTATACGTCTATATTACTATTATCAGCAAAGACAGGACTCCAGGTGAACATAGACAAGACAGAGGTTATGAAAATAATCAACCAACAACAACAACAACAACAGCAACATCCAGCACCAATCACCATCAACGGGAAGGATTTGAAAGAGGTAACTTCATTCACTTATCTAGGGAGCATTGTCTCAACTATAGGAGAAATGGACGAAGATGTCAAATCGAGAATCGGGAAGGCAAGACACACATTCATCAACCTGAAACCAATCTGGAAATCTTCCTCACTCAGCATCAACAACAACAAAATTCAGATTTTCAATACAAACA